GCCAGGATGGAGCAGCAGCCCCGGTGCCTGACACCAGCCTGGCTGTGTTCAACCAGTCCCATGTCCGCTCTGGGAGGGATTTGATATTCCTTGAAGCTTGGCAGGGCTTGGGAGAGGTGCCAGCCAGCCCTTGGTGTCTCTGGGAATGCCCTGCGTGGGATGGTTCGCTGGGATGGGCACCGGGATCTGCCGTGGGGTTGGCTGTGGTTGGGGTGTCTGGTGTGAGCTCTGGAGAGCAAAGGATGCTCGGAGAGTGATATGGTTTGGAGAGGCAGGTGGGGCAGTGCCATGTCCCACTCACAAGCACAGTCCCAGGGCTTCCCTGCCGGAGGTGCTCGTGCTTCCAGCTGATCTGACCCCCCTTCCTGGGGAGAGGAACCTCGCTGGGGTCATTCTTGCTTGGTTTCTGTGGAGCAGCGGACACTCTCTGCTGCCTGATGGTGATCCCGTGAGCGTGGCCAGGTGTGATGGCACCAGACAGGTGAGGAGAGCCGGGGGGTGAAGGTGAGCGCCGAAGGCTGGCTCTTCCCAAAGAAGTTGCTGGGAGCGAGATGAAAGTGGGAGATGAAAGTGCCCGGAGGTGAGATCCCATTAAAGCAGTGACTGGGCTTAGCCAGTCCCTGGTTCCTTAAATATCTTCTAATTTACAGTAATGCTCTAGATTCGTCTCGGCTCCCCTAGACTTTTATTTTAATCCCCTTTCCACATTTCCATGTGTTTATGTGTTAATTAAAGGGTAAAAAGCCACTCTCGGAGCAATCCCGGCTGCTGCTTCTCTTCCAGCCGAAGCCTTTCAAGATTAGGAGCCGCTTCCTAAAGCCGGCGGTGCCGGAGCAGGACGGGCAGGCTGCTCAACTTTCCATAGCTCGGAGCAGATCTGGTGCCTGGGATCCATCCTCCCCGAGTCCTCTTCTCCCAGCTGTGCAGAGGAGCATCCCGCGGACTTCCGAGAGCTCTGGGGGGATTTGCTGGGTCCATTGCACCTCCAGGATTTGCTGGTACCTGTGGGAGCAGCTGCTGGAGGGAGGACCCCCAGCGTGCAGCCTCAGCTCCCCTCCACGTCCTGGACAGGCTGGAGCTGGAAGGAAGGGTCTGGAAAACGCACGTTGGGGCTGGGATGTGGTGGGAAGGGCGGAAATAGCCTCTGGAGCATCTCAGTGCTGTGCTGTGTGTCAGTGTGTGGTGTCACCTCTGCTGTCCCGTGCTGGTTCATCACCAGGGCCTTGCTGAGCTCGTGGAGATGTGGGAGCATTTTCCCACTGGTGTTTCCCACCATTCTTCCTCACCCCTCCTTGGGTGACGGTTTTGAGCTCTTTGAGTTTGGATCTGGGGAAACTGAGGCCGAGGGGCATCCCCAGTGGTTGGGGACAGGGGTTTAGAGACAGGGACTCGAGGACAGGGGCAGTGGGGAGGAGGTGCCTGTGGCACTGGGCCCATACGTGGCACTGGTCCCTCTGGCAGCCCGTGAAGGGCAGCCCAAAGTTACAGAGCCCCTGAGGATCATGGTATCGAGGATAATTAAAAATAGGGAAAGCTGCTAAAATAGGTGTTGAGGCAATTGCTTCTGAGGAGCTCGTGGTGGGGCTGTACCTGTTCCTGCGCGTCCCAGGGGCCAAGAGGTGCCATTTAATTTTCGTGTCCGTGGAGCAGAATCAGGTGAAGAAGTGGCATCGCTTTGGGTGGGTCTGGACACCCCAAAATTCCTTGGGAGCTTTTGGGGAGAAATCACTGTAAATGTTTCATCTGCTATTCCTGCTCCTGAAGATCCCACATCCTTTGGTGCAAGTGTTTGTTCCGAGTCCGTCGTCTCTCTCTTGCCTCTGTGTCCATCCTTCCCTTTCTCCCGGTACTCCAGAAGGCTCCGTGGTAGTGCCAGGCTCCGTGGCACGGCACACACGTGGTGCTCCCACGGGAAGCGTGGCACACGCGTGTCGCTCGCATGCGGCGGGAGCCGTGTCCAACATCCCGGCAGCTGATCCGCCCCCTCCCTCGCAGGGAAGCTCCGGGCATCCATCAGCCTGTTAATTGCGCTAATTAGAGAGTGTGGAGGTGTTAATTGGAAAACCCTGGGATCGTGCCTGTTTGCGGGAGGGATGGATGTCAATAAAGCGGGATTGATGACTCGGAGTGGCACGTGCACCGCGCAGGTTCGCGGCGAGTCGGGGGATGTCAAGGAAATGTTACTGCTCAGACGAAGCAATTGTTAATTAAAAGCAAGGGTAATTGAAACACCCTCGTTGCCATATGGTCCCGCTGAAGGCAGGGGGATTCGTTGCTCCGTTTGTAATCTCCGCTTCCTTTTCTTTGTCCTACGGAAGGTGCGTGGTTGAGTAAAAGGGAAGAAAAAAAAGGCAGAGCGGTGGTTCAGCGAGGAGATTTTGAGTCTGAAATGGTAATTAATGGTAATTAACGATCCACTGGCGCAGCTTCTGTTGCTGTTGCCATTGGAGGGGGCTCCTCCCTCCCTCCCCTTTTAACTAAACCCACCCTTTCCCACTTTATCCGGGTGTTGCATCTTCCCGCTGACTGTGTGGACGCGGTCCCTGCCTTTCTGCCTGGGGGAAGGTCTGATCCTGATTAGACCCTCCGGATACCAGCGTATGGAGAATCCCTGAAATCCTGGCTGTGTTTGAACTGCAGTAGATGAGAAGCAGGAGCTGGGATGCTGTGGATCCCCCCTGGCTGTGTGCAGGGCTGCACGTGTGCTTGGCATCGCAGCCGCTCGCGAGGCTGAGTTTCACTCTTCCCAGTGTAGCCTCAGACATCCCAGATCAGTCCTGGCTGGAAAAGTGCTCATTCCTAGTTTAAATCCACTTTATAACGGTGCGGACACTGGCTTCATTTTTTTTTTCTTTAAGGTTTTGTAAAACTTTTATAGGAATGGAAATATTTTCATTATTATTATTATTATGACTTTCTTTTATGACTTCCCTTGCAGCGTTGGGATCCCAGACGCTCCAGCATCCCGTAGGGTTTGGGAACGGGAAGTCGAGTTTTACTAGACTTGGAGAGGGAACCCAACTGGCCCAGTGTCCCCGGCTCCGGGAATCACCCGGCCTGCGGGAATCTGCTCCAGCATCCCGCCTCTGGCAGGGCCGGGGCCGCCGGAACGAGCCCACAGCTCCTCCACCAGAAGAGATTTCCTCCTAATTCCCAATAGTTAAGCTTCAGTTTATGCCCGAAGCCAGGAAAGTTTTATATCCTTTCCAAAACCTTTTTTTTTTTTTTTCCCTTTTTTAATACTTCCTGTTGTAACTCTGGATATTCTTGTTCTCCGTATAAAAGTCAAATCCCTGTTTGAATCCCGACGAGTTTCTGGCCGTGGTGATGCCGTGTGACTGCTGGGCATGGGCAGAGCCCGGCACTCCCTGTGGTGCCTGGTCAAAACACGGAGCAGGCAGTGGATTTCGGAAGGAAAATGGGAATAGGAACAGCAATAATTTATTATTTCTGCAGGCATTTGTTTGAAATTGAAAAGGGGGAAGGAACAAATGTAGTTTTTAAGGCAAAAAGTGTTGTCTTTCTTCTAGATTTTTACTGCTAACGCAGCATCCTGTGAACACCTCATCCTTTCTCAACCTTGGGAAGCTGCTCCAACCATGCCATGCTCTCATTCCTTCTCCTGTGCTTCAACCAAACCCAAATCCCAGTAATCCCGTTAACCTTGAACTGTCCCGCAGCTCCTGGTGTGTCACCCTGTGTGGATTTGGGAGCACCGGGACAGTGGGAGGGAACCAGCAGCTCCCCATGGGAATTAATGTCAGTCATATACCCTGCGGAAATGACTTTTGAAATGCATATAATCTCAAACATGCAAATGAGCAGCTCGCTGCACCCTGTTTAATATGAATGATCAGCCCTGAATAGCGATTATTACACGCCACATTTCAGCAATTATGTTGTTCGTGGTTTGTCTCTCCGGCTTTTGGGGCGGGGGGGAGGAAATGGGGAAAAAAAGAGGGGGAGAAAAAAAAGGGAGAGGCAGTGTTGCTTCTCCCTGTCCTCTTTATTCCCCTCTTGTTTCAAACTCTGCGAGCGGCGCTGGGTGAGGCTGATCCCACACCGGCACCCGCCGGCGGGGATGGAGAGGGATGGAATGGGATAAAACTGTCCGCTGCTTTTCCACAGAGGAAAGTGTGCTGGAAGGAGGGAGAGCCCCTCGCTCTGGGGGGGTCCCTCGCCCCTGATCGCTCTGTGTGTGTGTCAGGGCTGGATGTGGCCCCAGGGGTTCTGTGGATGCTGTCGGAGTGGCAGGAATTGATGTTGGATGCGGTGGTTCTGTTTCCTCCAGTGCCAGCCCAGATCCAGGAGTTTCTCCCAGAAATGGGGACCCTCAGGTTCATGACCAACAACTTGCCCATTAATCCAAGCCAACTGAGCAAAGGCTGGGAGGGAGGGAGGATTTTCCAGCTGATGTATCACTGTGTTCTCGTTGCCGTGTCCCAGCTCTGCCGAAGCTTTGGGCTTCCTCAGCCTGCCAGCAAACCTTCTGCCAGCTGGTTTTTCCTGCTGGGAAGTGCTGGTTTGCTGGGAGCTGAAGCACTTTGAGGAAGTGTTTCAACTTTGCTGGGATTTTCACAGTGAGATCTGTGGCACAGGCTCCTCACACTCCGTGTGCAGCCTTGCTGGGACTCCAGCTGTGCTGTCTCCAGCATCTCAAAGTGAAATATTTTGGGATTCAGTGAAAATACCCGGATTCCTGGGGCTTTGTGTCTTGCATCAGGCTCAGAGAAAGCTGGAATCATGGGTTTTCCTGAGGAACGGGTTGCACTTGCCTTGCCCAGGGATGTGCAGGGCCGACAGAGTGTCTGTGGCGCCTCGCGCTGCTGCATGTTTATTTTTGGGGGTAAATTGAACGCAGCTCAAACTGGACAGGGTTTGACATCCCACCCCTGCAGGATGTCACGGGGATCAGGGGCAGGGCAGGCGGAATGGGGATGCCAGCCAGGGATCCCGCTCTCCGTTCTCAGCCTCTGCTCTCCCTTCCTCCTCCTCCCCAGGTCCTGCTAGCGAGTCATGATGGTTGAATCTGCCTCGGAGACGATACGTTCCACTCCCTCTGCCCAGAACGGGGTGAGCAGCCTGAGCCAGCAGCCCGATGGCGGCGGGGGCGGCGCGGGGGGCGGCGGGCGCGACGGAGCCGCCGGCGAGGCCAACGGAGAGATGAGCCCCGTGGAGCTCCTGCACTTCCAGCAGCAGCAGGTAGGACGGACACCCCCGTTCCTTCTTGCCAGCCTTACACGAGGCAGCACAGAACTGGGTCTTTCGAGGGTGTGGTTTGGGGGCAACACTTGGTTTTACCCCTCCTCGTCCCGTGGGTTCCACCAGGCTTGGTCGTCCCTGTTGAGGCCGGGGTGCAGATGCTGCCCCAAAAAGCAGGTACCTGTCCTTGGGGTGCACGTCCCTCGGGAGATGGAGCCCATCTACCCCTGGCGTTCCCGGTGCCCCAGAGATGGCTGTGTTTTGAGGGGGGAGATCCTGCCTGCTCTGTCCCCCATCGGCCTGGGAAAGCGGTGAGGAAGAGGAGGAATGTGAGGCCAAAGCCCTTGGCTGTAGCACAAGAGCAGGTGTTCTCCAAGTCTGTATTTGGTTGTCCAGGTGGGTGAGCTGAGCTGGTCCCCCTTTCCTTGGGGCTCCTGGTGCCTTCAGCTGAAGAATTAACCTCACACACATGGCTGAGAACACGTGTGACCATGACATGTGTGTGCAGCAGCTCTGTCCCTGGGCACACGTGTGTGCCCCTCGGGGGGCCCCTGGCACACACGTCCCCTTGGGCAGCCACGGGGAGGGGGGGCCATGCCTGCAGGTTACCTTTCAAAACAAACTTTGGCAAAAACATAAATTTTCCTCCTCGGCTACTAAATAAGGCAATGATCCCTGCCTCGTACGGAGATCGCCTCCCTGAGCCATAAATTCCAGCGTGAAAGCTGTAAAAAATTGCTGTGTCTGATACTTTAGTAGTGAGTGCTGTAAATCCATTACCTGGATAACAGCCGTTTCGCACGCAGTTAAGCCCCTGTTCCCCGGATCCGAGGGGTAATCATGCGTGTAATGCTCCTGCCAGTGCCCGCCGAGGAGCCGCCCGCGCTCCCCTCCCCGAATTTCCCCTCCCCAAATTTCGCTGGGAGACACCCGGAGCCGGGGGGGGGGGTGGGGGTGGGTTGGAACGGGAGACCCGTGATCCCACACAGCCAAAATGATGCAAATCGTGGGTGTGAAACAGGGTATCTCCTCCAGAAAATCAGCATTAAAAAGGGCTTTTCCGAAGCAGAGCGCTGTGCTGGCGGCTCATCCCTGGGGATGCTCCCCGGGCTCTCCCGGTGGATCCTGCCCTGCCCAAAGCAGGGCTGATGTTTAATTTCACCCTTTTGCATTTCTTCTCTCGGGTTCCTGGTGTGATCACCCTGGGAAGCTTGTTGGCACATGGAATTATTAAGGCAGAGGGTTTGGTAAACTTCCCAAACCAAATGGCATCTGCAGTGCCAGCGCCTTGGGAAGGGGGAGGACCCATCCCCAGGACTATCAATCTTCCTGCTTCAGGGAGCAGGCTGAGCACCAGCTGGGGTCAGGAATAAATGTCCCCATATCGGGAGTTTTGGACAATTAGGTGCTTTATGGAGGCTGTGCGCCATCCTCGGGAGCATCCCAGCGTTCGCCCGGGTTCTCGCACCACTGGGCTATTCCCGGCTGATGGCGAATCCATCCCGGCTCCCGAAATGTCGGCACTCAATCCTTATTCTTACTGAACTTTATGAAATGCCCAAGAAGCATTTGGAAGCCTGGAGGGGTGGGGGTTTGTTTGGGCGATGCAGCTCCCGGGGGCTCGTGCTCTGCCCCTGTTTTTGTCTGGTTTGGACCTTTTCCAGTGCCCGTGGCCCCTCTGCTTTCACCCCCTTCAAGGGGTGAACCCAGACAGCTCTTTGCAGGGACTTTGTGGGTTCAGGCTCCTCTCTGAGGGTGCTGCTGGAGATGGGTGCCCTGGGTGGGATCTTGAGGGGAGAGGGGTGTGTCATTGGGTGCTCAGGGACCCCCGAGGCTGTTTTGTGGCTTCTGGGATGTCCCCAGAGCAAGAGGCCGTGGGTGTCTGGCAGCACCAGCCTGGTTTGCTGAGACAGGGGCTCCCAGCTCGGTTCCAGCTCTGCTCCCCCACGGAGCACAACGTTCCATCATCATCCTTGTCCGTCTGTCCTTCCCTATCCGTGCGACTGCAGAGCATCCCGTGGTCCGGAGTGTCTGAAGGGAGAGCAGGAGAGGAAGAGGGGCAGATCCGAAAGGAGAGTGGGATGGGGTGGGGAAGGAGCATCCCCCTCCCCTGCCTCGCTCTCCCCAGCCCGGGGGCTGGCTCTCGGGTAAATCCCTGGATTTCAATGGTGGGATTGGGCTGAAAAGCCTGAATAGCTCCCGCCCGCTTTGTGCCGGGGTTGGCGGAGGGGAGAGGTCGGCCGGGGGCACGGGAGGGCCCGGGACCCCCCCCGCCGTTGCTGTGGGAACGTGGTGGGACCTCTGGCACTGCCGGGCTCCAGAGGGCCCCGCTGGCCCCTCCTGCCATGCCAGGCCCCCCCGGGATTCCCGGCGGAGGAGGGATGGGCAGGAAACGGGGGCAGTGGGGTGATGGGGGAGTCACATCCCTGGGCTGGGAGCAGGAGGGAGATCCTCTGGTTTGGGTATCAGGAGTGATGGAGCGAGGGGAGACCCAGGGGTGGGCTTTGCACAGGCAACGGGTGCTGCTCTCCATGGTTTTGGGTTCTCCAGGGTTTCCTTGATTCCTAAAAAAACCCTGAGTTTCCAGCTCTTATCCTGGAGCTGGAGTTTAAATCCATGGTGTGCAGAGAGCCTGGGGCTCGGGGGTCATTGCAGCTTTGGGGTGAAAAGCGTGGAGGTGCTCGTGCAAGGATGTCCTGGGAGAATCGTGGGGAAAATCCCCGAGTCCGGCACCGCACGGGAGCTTCTTCCAGCTTGCAGTCCTTGGAAAAGGAGCCATCTGGAAAATCCAGCTGCTCTAGCGTTGTTTGGTGTTATTTTATTATGCAAAAAGTACATTAAAAAGTGCAGTTTATTGCAGACAGACGTCAAAGAAATGGGGAATAATAAACAAAAATAAGTCTTGTTTTTGAAAAGAAGCAAATGGGACCTTTTTGGGAGTTGAGGAAGGGTGTGGAGGGGGGAGGAGAGGCACTTTGCTGCCCTCAGAGAGATACCATTCCATAAAACATGTGATCACATCTCAAATATATTGTGTAATCTGCTATTATTAGGGTATTTAAGATAAAAACGAGGCTGGAGCACTTAAGTGAAACTCATCTCTCTATTTGCTTCCCTGATTCATATTTCATATTTTACTGAGGACAAATGCAGGAACCTTTTTTTTTTACTCTTTTTTCCCCTTTTTTTCCGTGGAATGGGATTGTCAGGAGCATGTTCCTTGTGTTCTTCATTAGTGGGGATGGGTTTAACCCCTCGCCTGCGAGGACCGAGGAGGCAAGAGCAGATTAATAAAGTCCAGGAGCGTTAGAGCAGGGGAGCACAGCTGGGGCTGGGACACAGACATGGAGTTGGGTGTAAAAACTACTTTTTTTTTTTAATTTCCCTGTGAAGAATTGTGTCATTTTTGTTAATTTGGATCTCTTGGAGTCATTTGGTTCTGGTTAAGCGGGGCCGGGCTGGGCTGGTGGAAGTGCTCCTCAATATGGCATCATTTACTGTTAATACCCAGCTAAAAATATCCCTGTGTGTTGTTTTAACGGCTCTAATTCTGGAATGTGACGATGTCATTTTTATGAGGTTAGTGTAAAAAATCTTCCTTTTTCTTTTTTGCCATTTTTTTCATCCCTTCCCAACCCCTTTCCACCCTCTGCAAGAATCGGAGGGAAAAGGGAAGATACAAACTCTCTTACAGGTCCTCTTTCCCTGCAAAATTCTCGGTCTGATGTCATGTTCAGGTGGTTTTTCACTCGTTGGAGAGTAAAACCCCATGTAAAGCTTTGATCCAGGTAGAAAATCCCTCAGCTAATTTTGGGCAGCAGTTTCCATGGTGGTGACCCTGCTCCTGGCTCCGGCAGCTGGAGCGTCCGGGCACTGCTGGGTGGAATTAAAAACTCTGTCATCATAAAGTGAAATACCTGGTAAATAAGGGAATTTAAAATATCCCGGGCAAGATTTTCCATTGTACTATGATTTTTTGATTGGGTTTGTTTGGGTGGTTTTTGGGGGTTTTTTTTGGGAGGCTGGGGCTTGTGCTTTTAGGAAGACTTGTGGATGTCTCCACCCTCTCCAAACTTTTTTGAACCTCTTGACCTGTTTCTTCCCAATTGGGAGGCCCTGGAGAGGCTCTGCTCGGGCAGGTTTTGAGGAGAAAAGGGCAACCAGGCAGGGATGAGGGGTTAATCCAACGTTATCCAGGCTGTAGGGTGGGATCCTGGATGGGAGCCACTGTCTCCTCAACCTGCGCTTTTCCAGGGCTGGGACCAAGTGGGACCTGGTGTTCCCTGTGGGAGAAAGGGAAGTTTGTGGTGTTTGCCATGAGGAAGGCAGCCAAAATCTGCCCCTCTTGGTGTCTGGAGGAGCCTCCATCATGTGCAGGAGTGAATTTATGGAGCCTCACAGGCTGGAGCACAAGCCTGTGGGGGAAGAATTAAGGATTAATCCCAGCAGAGTTTATTTATTGACCTCCTCCCCACCCCAGCACACACCTTCCAGCATCTCCCATCTCTCCCTGCAATCCCTGGTGTGTTCCATGTCCCTGCACAGCCAGAGGGAGTTGTGGGCCTTCCCCAGCCTGGGTCACCTTCCTCTTCCTCAGCCCTGGAATGTGCTGCTGCTGCTGCTCTTGGGGAGGGCAAAGCCAAACCACATCAGCTCTGGATGTGCCTGAGACATTACAAACTTTTTATGGGATAATTTGCTGATCAAAGGGAGCCATCCAGGAGCTGACACAACCCATTCGTTCCCAATTACCACTGCTGGATGACACCGTGCAGCAGGAGAGGGGCTTTTCTAAAACAGTCACTTTTTCTCTGGTTCCCAGAGCTGGGAGGTGAAAGCCCATCCACTCCCACGAGGGGACTCTTCCTTCTGCTTTCCCATCTCCTCAGCCCCGAGGAGAGCCTGTGGATGACGAGGAGAGCCTGTGGATGATGCCTTCCCTGCTCCTGCCTACGGAAAGGCTTTGTCTCCCAGTATCTGGGCTGCTCCTCCTGCCCTGGGAGGGCAACAAGTGCAGATAACCAGGGGCTCTGCATCCCAAAATTCCATCCTTGGTGCTCCACGTGCTTTGTGCAGCCGTGCAACAGGTTTTCATCCCTTGTTTGCAGGCTGAGCTCAGCTTAGGCTGGAGTGGGAATCGCTGCCGGGTGGTGAGGGAGGGAGGGGGCAGCTCTGGGGCGCTGGTGGAGAGGCCCCTGTGTGCAATTGTAAGGCCATGTCATTTTTTTTTCCTCTAAATCTTGTAATTTCGTGCTTCAGAGCACAACAAAGTGAGAGAGCCAGCGGGGAGTGAATTAAATTCCCCCCTGAGAGGCGGCGCGGTGGGGCCGAGCCGGGCGGGCGCTGGGGGCTCGGTGGCACCAGCCACTGTTTGGGTTTAGAAAGAGAAATTCTGGGAGAAGTCCTGCGTGGCACTTGGTGCTGGAATTCTGTCCCTTCTGCTTTTCCCCTCTTTGCTGTTTCTTCTGTCCCTGTTGCACTGATTTTTGCTGGGCTGGGGCAGGGACCTGCCTCGCCGGGTCACTCTGTGAGATGGCCCTTACGAACACCGCAGGAATTCCACGTGGCGTGCGTGGAGAAACCAAATCCGTGCAAACCTCTGTTAAAGGACAGGTGGAAAAGCAGATAAGCTGAGGCAGTTGGTGCACGGACACAGGGTGCAGCCACAGTCCAGCACCCATCCTGGTGGGCGCCTTGGACGTGCCGCGCGTCGGCGCTGAGCAGCCGCCGGTTGAATTCCTCCACCCTTGGCTTTTAACTGGAATTACTGTTTTCGTTTCAAAAAGTAATTAAAATATCAGACCTTGAGCTGTCATAACTGTCACATGGTTTTTGTGTTCGCATTACCGATGCACATCTATTCCTGTTAATAGCAGGGAAGTGACGTGCCCGTGGAGAGACGCGCTGGGGCTGCGGCGGCTCCGCGAGCTGGACCACGGGCTCGTTCCATCGGTGATTCCCAGCAGTGAATCGCCGTGTTTGTCCTCCAGGATTTTAGTTTTTAATTGTTTGGATGAAGTGAGTTTGCAGGTTAGTGGTTGTGTAGCTTTTGAGCACCCCCAGGGGTGCTCAGTGGCCGTGGGGCAGCTCTGGGTGTTCCCGTGCTGGGCACACCAAGCTGGGGGCAATCCTGGGATGCAGCCCTGGTAATTCATCATAGGAATATAAAATTAGGATCCATCTGCTTTTGGAACTCCTTGTTTTTTTTACTTTCTTGGGGCTGTTTGGTTCGTATGATGGTGACAAACACAGCCAGGCAGGGCAGAGGGTGCCCAGTGCTGCGTCTGGGGCACAGCTGTTGGGTTTGGGCCCCTTGCTATGAAATTATAATTTTTTTAATGATATAACTGAGACTGTATCTGTTAAACCCTTTACTCAGCCTCCAGATTCAGCAGCAACTTTAAATTCCCTCTCATTTTGCAAGTGCTCTTGTAGTGCCTGTCCTCCTGCACGGAGCAGGTTGGGTGGATTTATCCACCAAAAAATAACATGGTACAGCTCAGGCATCCTTTGCTTTAGATCTGTTCATATGCTCTTCCCAAAAACCCCTGTGCAAAGGAGCACGGGGGGGACCTAAAATGCAGGGAATGAGTTTTCTTGGATGTTCCATTTGAGGAGTGGCCCTGTCTTGGGGTGCTGTGGCTGCTCCTTGGTTTCAGTCACGGGGTGAGCTCTGTGCTGAGGTGCATCCTCGGGTGCCACGGGCAGTGCTGCTCCATGTGCCAGTGGGTTTGGGAGGGAGGGATGGAGAGGCAGTGCACAAGGCTGGGCTTTATTCTTTTTAGCTGGAAACACAGGGATTTAGCAAGCAGCCCTTCCTCGGGGTGCAGGGCTGCTCCTGGAAGCCAGGCAGGGATTTATGGGGGATGACAGGCAGGGACCCGCCGGGCTCTGCCCCTGCACTGGCCCTAATGCAGCCCTGTCCTGCAGGCAGGGCCACAATATCCTGCTTGTTCAGAAACGTGCCCAAAAAAAACCAGAAGGAAGGAAAAGAATTCTTTAAAAGCAGAAATAAGGAGCAAAGGGGGAAGCAGATCTGGGAGCAGCGGGTTGTTTTCCTCAGAGCTTTATTCCTTCTTCTGGCTCCCAGCTCCTCAGTGAAGCTCCTTTTCTCAGCTCACACTTGCTCCTCTCTCCTTCTTGTCTTTTCACAGAATTTTCCTTCATTTCCCCTGCTTTCTCCAGCTGTCCACAGTGCTGTGCACGGCTCAGTTGTGCCTGGGTGTGTTTCACAAGTGTATTTGATTGATTTATGTTGGTTTCTCCCTCTTTTGCCTGTGGTGTGATTCCCAGCGAAATGCCTTCATCCCTGTAAACAGCTTAAGGAAACCCATCACTTTTTCTAGGCAAACACCCCCAGCAATAAGCAGGTTTAGTGGGAGTTGCTTGTGGGAGTTGCTGGACATCTCCTGCATCACCATCAACTCCGTGCAGACACATTCATGGATTGATTCAGGGTGTGATCCTGCACTTGGCCTCACCCAAGTCTGGGTGGTGGCTGGAACTTTCTGGTGCTCCAATGTAACAATCAGATGTAAAATTAAATATGCACAGTGCTTTAGACACGAGGGACATCAGTGGCAGCAGAACTGTGGTGGTGGCTCCGTGCAAGGGTGGAATAAACCAGCCAGGAGCTGGAGCTTTGGTCAGGAACTGGTTGTGCCTGGCCAGGGGACACCTGTGCCAGGGCTGGAGTCTGGGAATGACCCTCAGGACAGTCTGCCAGTGGCACGGGGCTGCTGGACCTGGTGACTGCTAAAGATGGGGTGGGGGGTTCTGGAAGAGGATGGAGTTGCTCCCAGCTTCCCCTGGCCTTCCATGGCTCTGGGGGGTAGGAATAGGTGGTCTGTAATGGTGTGTACTGGTCATACTGGTGTGGCAGGGAACGCTGCCCTCCTCGTGCATCCCTCACACCCCGTGAATCAAAGCCATGGAGAACCAGAGCTGGAGGGGCAGTGTGCCCGGAGGAGGAGGAGGAGGAGGAAGAGGGCAGCCTTCCTCCTGCCCACGGTGCTGTGTCTCTCTTGCAGGCTCTCCAGGTGGCACGCCAGTTCCTGCTGCAGCAGGCCACGGGGCTGAGCTCCCCCAGCAGCAACGAGGGCAAGCAGCCAGCAGTGCAGGTGAGCCCCCAGCACGTGTCCCCCGTCACCCCCTGGGTGGGAAGGGCTCGGCTGCAGGCGTGGGACAGGCCACGGGTCACCTCCCTGCTCGGGATGGCTGGAGCACACAGAGAGTTAAATCCTCTGTAAAGTTCCTGAAATTTCTTGGGAGTTTTTTTTTCTGGGGGGATGGGGGTGGTCCCCATTTTGTGCTGATGTGGTGGGAAAGGGGGATGCCAGGGAAGGGTTGGCTCCAGAGGAGAAAGGAGTGTGTGGGGGGGGAAGGTGACCATGTGCCACCTTACCATGGGACACATTTCAGATTGGGAGGCACAGAGTTTCCCAGGATTCAATGCTGGGTGCAGTGAGTGTGGCACAGGGGCTGGAGCCCCTGCACAGGGCAAGTCCTCCCACGTGGGACAGCTGCTGGGACAGAGGCCTGGCTGAGGTGGGATTTGTAGCACCGGCAGGGAAGCGGGGCTTTGGGTGGGCACAGGGATGGGGGGACCACCCTTTGCTCCACTGCTCTGCCAAAGGAAAGGGGCTGAAAATGGGAAGAGAAGGAGCAGAAGAGGGGTGAAATCTGGAGAGAGGAGGAGGCAGGAAGAAGCAAAGCCCAAGCGATGGAAAGTGACAATTTAAATAGCTGTGTGGAGGGGCTCTCCCTTCAGGCTAATTAAATTTATCGGAGAACAGCAGGTTACCTTATTAGAGCCACGTGGGTTTAATTAACAAAGGAAAGTAATTAGCACAAGCGCTCTCGGAGCTGGAGGTCCTGCCTGTGCCAGGCTGAGCCGTGTGGCAGTGGGAGGGCAGCGGGAGCCGGGCTGGGATGGGCAATCCCGAGCTCCTCTCCCAACTTGGAGAGCCAGGGCACGGCTGAGCCAGCCGGCAGCAGGTCCTGGGGCTCCCGGGGGTCAGGAGAGCCCGGGACCCCCGGCTGCCCCTCCGGGTTGGGGAGCAGCAGCTGGGTACGAGCAGTGGGAATTAGTCAGGGCTCCTGCGGCACAAACAGGCGGCTTTTTCCAGCGGTGCTCGCAGGAAGGAAATGCAGTCACTGCATGGAAAATGTCTGCAGAGGACAAAGGCAGCGAGGGTGAAGTCAGATTCCGGTAACTGGCGCCTCGCTCCCCTCCGTGGGTGTGTGTCCCTGCACTCCTCCTGCCTATCCCTCGGTGCTCTCCCCACCGTGTTCCCGGCTGGATACACGTGCTGCTGCTTGGACATCCCGTCCTTCCCTTCCCTGCTGCTCTCCAGCCTCCCCTCCCTGCCCATCTGGCCAGCGGCTTCGCCGGAGCGAACTGGATCTCCTTCCTCTCCCCTCCTCCCTTTCTGTGTTGCAAAAGGACTTGTGAAAGTTGTAGACGTGAGTCAGAAATAGCTCATAACTCAGCAGCGACCGGCTCTTCCTCCCCCCGCGGCCCCGCCGGCAGCTGGAGCGGGATCTGACCGAGGGGAGATAGAGGATTAAGCAGACTCCTTTGAAAGGAAGTTTATCTAACGGCAGAGTGGTGTGGATGAGACTGGCCAGGACGGCGGGAGGAGGAGGAGGAGGAGGAGGAGGAAGGCTGGGTCCCAGCGCAGCAGCCCCTGGCTGGGGAGGGAGTGTGGCAGGATGGGAGGGTCGTGGAAGTGTTTGGGAACTGGGGTGTCCTTGGGGTACCAGCCTGGGGTCCTACGGGCTTTGCCTGTGGATGTGCAGGCTGGGGAATGGATTTTCACACCGGTGGGGTATTTTGGGGAGGGGGTAGAAGTTGTGTCCGTGGCCTCCCCTCAGCTCTGTGCCAGCCGGCTCCTGGCCCCCGATCCCAGGGGGAGGGAGCAGGAGGGTCCTGGTGCTGGCAGGGAGAGCAGGAGCCCCCACACCCAGCAGCACCACAGACCCCCGTGCTTGCCCACACTGTGCACTCTCCCTGTCACCCCCTGATGGGGACGGGACATTTTCGGGGCACCAAGCCAGTGGGAATATTAATGACATTCCCGATGGCGTGCACTTAAAAACAACCAGGGAGCTGCTGGGCTCCGGAGCATCCTGGAGTTGGTTTTTTTTGGAGTATGGACCCTCTCTCTCCCCAGATGCCTGGAGGTGTGTGTGGAGAGCTTCACGCTGACACTCGAGTTACAGCTGCAGCTAAAAAAAAGGCAAAAAACCCTCCACCTTTGGGTGTTTTAAAAAATGTAAAAATGGTTTTATTTCTCTGCAACTTTAAAACTCTTGGAAACTTGGTGGGTGCTGACAGAGTGTTGCATTTGAGGACTTTTGGTGCTGATGGACCGCAGGGTGTTCCCATCCTGCATGGGGCTGGTGGAAGCAATGTATCCCCCTGGGATCCTGCTGGGATCTGGGGTCTGGGAAGTGGAATGAAGTGCTGGAAAGGCAGCACCCGTGTTCTCAGTGCTGGCTTGTAGACTCCTTGGAATCATGGGGTGCCCTTTTGGGGTCCCTCCCTGGCTCAGCCCTTGGAGCTGGGGGGTCTCCCCTCGCTGAAAGGGGAGGGGGGCTGAAGGGCACCAGGGGAAGGGAGAGGAGTTTGGAGCAAACTGCGGGAAATTGCTTTTCTTTTGTCTGCTGCGCGGGGAGGGCAGCGGAGCGGAAAAGTGTATTTTGTTGATTTGAAACTTGAGTGAAATGGGTAATGAAGACAGATCAATAGCAGCCCTTCTGCGTTCCCTCTCCAGGAACAGACCCAGCAGCCCGTCCGGCTCGGCTCGTGCGGCGTTAGGTTTTTCCATTTGAACTTGCAGCATCACTGTCTGTCCCTGCTCCCACTCCTGCTTCCCGGAGCCCCCGCCACCATCCTGCTCTGGGATTGGCATTTTGGATAAACAGAGGAGCAAAGTCACTTCAGTCCCTGTAGATTGGTCAGTGTGATGAGCTGTGCCAGCACCCCGTGCCCGTGGTGTCCCCCCAGGGACGCTGCCTGGGTGATGCTGAGGGCAGGGGCTCACCGAGGAGGGGGCTGTGGGCACTCCAGCACTGTCACCTCTGCTGCCAGTATCCCCAGCCAGCTCCTTCCAGCTTCCTGGAGCCCAGCCACGTGCCATTAGTGCCTCCCTGGTGGGAACACCATGCTAACGAGGATGCACTAATGAGGATGCACGTTGGGCTGAACACGCTAGGGATTGATTCCTCCTTTTCTTTACATGGAGCTGAACATCAGAGCCTGGTGTCCTCTACGCTGGTTCCTGTTCCCTTGCCCTCCTGCTGCCACCCCCACCGAGGGCAATCAGTCCTTTGGTGCTGAGGCTGTTCAGAGGGTTGATAAAACAAACCACAGCCTCAAAACCACATGGAGCTGAGCTCAGTTTCCCCTCTGACCCCGGGTAGATTTTAGTCCGTTGTCTCTGTCCCGCCCTGGTGAGGTTCAGACACAGTGTGGTGTGTCCTCCTGAGTGGAGGGATGGCAGAGCAATGTTTGGGTGGCCCTGTGCCACCCTCAGGGTTTATAGACCATGGCTGGGATCACATTGGTGTCACTGGCATCAGTGCCTGGCCCCGGGCGCTCGGAGCTCTCGCAGACGGTCTGAGCCAGCTGGGTGTTGGAGCTCTCCCAGGGACGAGAGTGCAGGAGAGGACGTCTGGATGTGCCTGGAGGATTTGGTTTGCTCTTCTCCTGTGAGGAGTGGGTGCTCTGGGGTGGGGATTTGCTCACCCCCTGCCCCTAAAACAGCAGAACTTGAAGCTGCTCCTGGTATTTGTTTCCCCCCTTCTATTCGTGATCTCCTCAGTTTGTTTCTGTTGGGTTTGGATTTGAAAAGGGTGTTTAAAATTAGGAAAAAAGAGCACAAACATGTTTTCTGTTGTTTCTAATGGGGACTTAAACTCCAAGATTAGATCATAGTGAGGATGTGCAGCCTTGGGCTCCGTGGGAAGCCCGGAACACTCCAGGCAGCTGCTGTGCACAGGGAGAGGTGTGTTCATCCTGGTGGTCCCAGAGCCCTCCTCAGGTCAGCAGGGCTTGGGGACGAGGTCTGGGCTGTGCCTGCCCTGGCGAGGGAGCTGGGCTGTGTGGTTTAGGTGTGGTTTAGGTGTGGACCAGGAGATGCTCCTTCCCGTAGCACTGGTGACGTGCTGCCCCCGGCTCCCTGGGGACATCGTGGCTCCTGTGGTGACCTCCTGGCATGGGTGACGGCACAGCTGGGAGGTGATGGTCGGAGCAGGGATGCTTTGAGGCTGAGCAAACCGTGGGCTGACGGAGGATGTCCCCACGCCGTGCCAAGCCAGCTGTCCCTGGGGTCAGGAGGGCACTGTCCCTCTGGCAGCCCCGCCGTGCTGAGCCAGGAGCAGCTGTCGGGCCGTGGCTTTCCCTGCTCTGCCTCGTGCCTGGGAGTTCAGTCTGCTTCCCATAAAAAAAAAAAATCCAAGAAAAATTTCCCTTAAGAGCCTCGCTCCCTCTCCTGCCGCGTTCCACCCAACCAAATCCTGGTTCCCTCAGCCGGCTTTGGCAGCGCTGCTCCAGGCTCCCGCCGAGCTTCCCTGGAATACCTGCCTTGTTTTCCACCCACTGCCTGCTGATCCGTGCCCGCCCGTCCTCTGGCACGCAGGGATTACGACCGGGACCGCCTGGAAAATCAGCCCCGGAGATGCCGCTGGCCGGCCGGAGCAGCGCCGGGTGTTTCTGGGAGCAGCCGGAGCTGTTAGTAAGCAGTTCTGCGGAGTGGCAGCCGGCCAAGGCATGAGTCAAACCCTTCCTGACTCGGTGTCTGGCAGATGCCAGCTCGTGACGCGTCGGCCGGGGACCAGCCGCTGCTGGGACCTGCTTCCCGAGGGATGTGCCGGCTGTGAGGACATTCCCCGGCTGCTCCGGTGCCCGGGGGTGGAGGGGGTGTGGAGGAGGCAGCTGGGTGACACTCACCCCTCGTACCACCCCTGGTGCCCTTTGGCTCTCGCTCGCCTTGTTGACCACTCTGTCTGTCTGGGTCTCAGCTTTTGAGGTGATTGTTGCCCAGAGCCCCCCGTTCTCCAGGGATGCCAGGCTGGCCTCCATTCCTGCCGTAGGGAATCTGGCACACCGGTGGTCACCGAGTGCCGTGGCTGCAGGTGAAGGGGTGTCCCAGGGCCACACTGTGCCCTCACCTGCCTGTGGGTGCCCCTGTGGGGCGTTTGGCCAGGTTGGGATGGACATTTCCATCCCCCTCTTGTTTTGCCAGGGCAGCAGCTGTCACCTCCCAACAGAGGTGTCTGGGACGAGTGGCTGCAGTGGGAGCAAAACTGGCTGTAAGTGGGAATTTCCCCTTTTACTAAAGAAAGTTCCTGCTCTCCCTGGAAACCTTCACTGGGAGAGGGATGTTTTCCGTGCTGTGGGGAAATTCTTCATGTGGCTTTGGCATCCCCTGGGGCTCGAGGAGGCAGCAGAGCCCGGATGACCCTCACAAACAGCAGCGCTGGTTCGCCCCGTTCCCACCTCAGCCCCGCACGAAGCCACCACCATTTCCCCGTGTCAGCTCCGCATCCGAGCACGGAAGAAAAAGCCATTTAATGCAGACAAAGGTTGTATGAAAATATAATTCTGCTTTTGTTAGCAGCCATCAAACTCTAAAAAGCGTCACTTTTGTTTTCTTGTAACATTGTGAAAACCTCGTGTCGGATCGAGAGCTGGGGCCCTCTCGACTAATCGCCTCTCCTTTGTGTTTTTAGATTATAGGGGCAATTAGTGTTGTCAAAACCTCTGGCAATTCTCTTTGCTCTTGACAGGGTGTCAGTCCGCTGGGCGAGAAATGGAAGGTGTTATAACTCTCCGGTAATTAGGATGCCTCCGATTTGAAAATGCCAGCAAACGTGTTGGAGGGGCCGCGCGGTGGGGGCGGGGAGGCCGCCCGGATGGGGGATGCGGATGAGCAATTAATTAGGGGCTCTCATTCCGAGCACGTTGCCAGCTGATGAATTGGCAAAGGGAAATTAGCAGGATGCTCAGCTCCCGGGAGCGGGCGCGCACCCCGCCCGTCTCGCCCTCCTCGCCAGCTCCCCTCCTTCCCAGATGTTCGCCGAGGGCTTTGCACAGCTGGCTGGGAGCACCTGAGCACCCAAACAGCAGCTCTTCCCTGCTGCTGCTGCTGCGGGGGGCTCTTGGGGCTCTCTGGTGGGTGCTGGAGCCCTTCCAGGGCGCTGTGGCTCATCCCTGAGGATGCTCCCCAGCCTCCGAGCCCTCCACGGCCGGAGCAGTGGGAGCAGCCCCAGCCCTTGGGTGGGAACTCGCAGCAATTAATCAATAACTGCGACGTGACGCGGCTGGAGGGGGGATCACAAATGGAGCTCGACCCGTGTCCCACACCTCCCTCCAGCAGAATGCCTGAGTAAATAGATAAGCCTTGGCAGCCTCCCTTGAAGGTCAGAGCGCTCCCAACACCCACCACGGGTGGGAGGGACTGCACGGGGCTACCCTGTGGTCCCATCCCACTGGGCTGGCTGGAGGGGGAGGCAGCAGCCATCTGCTTTCCAAGGAAAAGGGGGGCACCCAGGAAGGGTTATTAAATTGCAGCAAAGCCATGACTTTGCCCAAAGCTTTGGGAAAGGCTTTGGGCTGGTGTGATCAGTGGAAGACTGGGACGAGGCAGCTGTCAATGGCTGTGATTGGGAAGGCATCGTTGCTCCACCTGGGCAGGACCCAGTAGGGCTGGAATCCATCACTGACACCTTCTCTGGAGCACTGCTGGGGGTGTGGACCCATATTTTGATAACCAAAGGCAGGGGCTGGCAGGTTCTCTCAGCCCTCCCTCCTCTTGGCATGGTAATTACGTGGGTTACCGGTGTCAGCTGGAGGTAAAGCTTTGATGTGTCTGTGGAGAACCTGGTAACCTCTTCCTCCGTGCTCTGCTTTGCAGAGTTATTTGGGTGATCAGTATCTTCCCACTTCCCTTGTGTTTCCCTCTGCCCTGCATGCTCCGGCACCTCAAGGGAAGGAGCTGTGGTTTGGTGCCCAGTTCCCCCATCTCAGCTGCATTTAAAGAAGAGCACCCTGCCCTCAGGGTGGGGGAGCTCACGGTTTAGGAAGCTTCACCCCAGTGCCAGCTGCACCACAGGGCACCTCCCTGCCATTGCCATGTCCTGGCAGTAGCCTTGGCGTGCCAGGATGGACCAGGGGCCGAGGGCTTCACCTGAAGGTGAGGCAGGGATTGGGGGGGCGTGAAAGATGTTCCAGGAGAGGTGGGAGGCACCTGTAGGCTGTTGGCACTTGGGGAGGGTTTGCCAGGGTTGGAATGGGGAGTGGTGACGTGTCCTTGCTCTCACAGGTGCCCGTGTCCGTGGCCATGATGTCCCCACAGATGATCACGCCGCAGCAGATGCAGCAGATCCTCTCTCCGCCCCAGCTCCAGGCCCTCCTGCAGCAGCAGCAGGCGATAATGCTGCAACAGGTAACGCTGCACCTGGGCTGCATCCAGCCAAGCAATTCCCACTGGGTCTGGGAATGCTGGAGCTCACTGTGGGCAGGCAGATGGGTCCCTTCCTCCCTGGGTTCTCGCGTTCTCCACATATTTCCTTGGGGATTCCCAGCACGTTCAGGGACAAAAACAGCTGCAGGTGCTGACAGTGCTGGCAAAGCTGGATGCTGCTGCTCAAAGCCCAGAAAATTCCTGCACGAGGTCTGGTTTGGGGCTGCCCAGCTCCTGGGAGGAGCTGTGGTCCGAGTGGGTGCTCTTGGCTCGATGCACCCCAAGCAGAGCCCCCGTGGCTGCTGCTGGGCCTTGGGCATGTGCCTGTGTCCAGCTCCAGACCTGAGCACGTGGGTTTGTTTCTCATGGCCTGCTCAGCTTTTCCGGAGTGTTCAGTCAGATGAGGAGGGAAGAAAAAGGAGAAGAAAAATAACAAACCTCAACTCCGAAACAAAACAGGTCTGCTTGGGTAAACACCTCTCGCCAGCGGGAGGGAGAGAGGGAGAAACCCCACAAGCATCTTCCACACCCTTCCTCCTGCCTCCAGTACCTGTTTACTCCAAACAGGCTGATAAGGATTCAAGGTTGGCCCCAGGGAAAGAACAAAGGGTAAACACTACCCTGGGTGGGTCCTTCCACAAGCCTCTTTGGAGCCGGATAAAGAAACACGTTTGACTGCAAATTAAACAACCCAGGCCGGAATAGCTCGCATTCTCCACCGGCAGAAAACCAAACATCACACCTCTCACCCCTGACCCAATGTTCCTGCGCCTGCTCGGCCCCGCTGCAGCCCTGGCTCCGGCTGGCTCTGGGGTAAACACCCAGCCCCTCCAAACCTGTTCTCCGGCAGAAACGGCGAGGTTGCTGCTGTCAGCGCTGTCAGCCCCGAGCTGATAAAGGATTCCCGGCATCCACAGGGGCATTCCTGAGCCCCTGCACGGGGTACGGGCGGGTGGGAGGGGGCTGCGGGGTCTCGCTGACCTCCCCGTGCTCTGCCCCCCCTGCACACACCAAATCCATCACCCACAGTTTATTTAGGGCCGGGGGGGGAGCTGCCTGCAGACACTGGGACCCTCTCTGGTGGTTCATTGTGGGGCTGGGGGTTTGTCCCTGTGTTCCTGGACCAGCAAAGCTCTCTGCTTTGGCCAGGGGGCTGCGAGGGGCTGGGCTGCCCATGGAGGGGGTGCAGGGCTGAGCCCCCAGCACTCGTAGGGTTGCACCAGCCAGACCAGGGGCTGTGGCTGCTTCTGACCCCTTCCCAGCTGGGAGTCCCCCTGGCTCTCACTGCGATTGCCAGGGGGGTTTTGGGGTCCCACTGTACTGAAAATGGGATTTCCCCACTGCTGAAACACCCTGCTGCCAGAGCACCCAGGGCTGCTTCTAAGGGACAATAAAACAAGCAGCGGGTTTGGCACTGCTGGTGTTGGGAGATTTCACTTGCTGTGGGGATCCAGAGCCTTTGGGAACATGTGCCCAGGGTTCTTCTGGTGCCCTGACTCCTCTGGTGGGTCCTTTTCCTCCACCCTGTAGCCAGGAGCCTGCCCTAATGACACAGTGCCAGGAGCTGACGTGGCTGTGGCAAAGCCTGGTACTGGGCTTGGGGTGTTTCTGCTGCTAATCCGGTTGCTCTCTCCCCTCCCAGCTGCAGGAATACTACAAGAAGCAACAGGAGCAGCTTCACCTGCAGCTATTGACACAGCAGCAAGCTGGAAAGCAGCAACCCAAAGAGGTGAGCTCACGTGGAGGGCGCTGGGCCATCAGATCTGGCGGCAAATTAAAGGAGGAGCGGAGCACAACAAGGTGTGCAGGAACCCCAGCACCCCGGGCAGCTGGGAGCCAGCAGGGATGGGGCACGGGGGCATCCTGCTCTGGGGGGGGTTGGATGGCCAGTCCAGGTGCTGGGGGTTGTTGTTCTTCCTCCTCCTGTCTGTGATCTGGCACATGCACTGAGCTGCATCGTTCTCAGCAGCGTGTCCAGGGGCTGTGGGGTGTGTGGGGAGCAGTGAGGTCAGGGCTGGGGGCTGCTGGACCCTCTCCAGGGGCAGGGGCAGGTCACTGCCCCCAGCACAGAGCAAGGCTCCCCAGTTCCCCCTGGGGTGGGGGCAGAGGAGGCTCAGCTCAGCCCTTGCCTGGCACAGCTCGAGTTGGGCAGCCCAGTCTTGGCTGAGCTGGCACAGCAGCACCCTGGCAAGTAGGCAGGGCTGGTCAGATGGGAACTCAAAGCAGGGCTTTTCCTGCCAGGAAGGGCGGTTTTCCAAAACCCCAGCACTGTGTGGAGTAGCAGTGATGCCAGCAAAGGGCTTTTCCAACAGGAGACACTCAGCCAGGGGATGCTCTCAGCCCCTGCTGGCACCGTGTTGGCAGCAGTGGGCCCTGTGCTGGGGAGGTGGGTGCCTGGTGGAGAAGCATTTCATGCCCATGTGATTCCATCAGTGTTGTATAACTCCCTTTACACAACAGTTTTTGCTGTCCTTTCCCACAGTGATGCCCTGCCTGGTGTTGTGGCTGTATTTTGGGGATGTGCCAGTCACACAGGGGACCAGGGTGGCTGGAGTGGCTCAGGGTCGGGTTGGCACCTACTCCAGTCTCTGCAGACTGACCTGGGCTTTCACTGCGGGGTGGTGGCGTATTTAGGGGTCAGGTTTATCAGAGCCATCTGCAGGAGCTGGAGTGGCTGCTGGTGCTCCAGGAACGGGGGAGGCATAAATCTGAGCTTCCTCAAGGACTTTCCTCTTGGCCGTGGCGATGTTCTGTTGCAGCTCTGAGCGGGGATATAATTAAGCTCTAACAAAGCACTTGCTTAGCGGGCTCCGGTTTAAAAAGCGCGTGTTAACTTTTAATTAAATGGTACAGAGGAAACGGGAAATTCATCCACTAAGAAAGAGAGGCTGGGGGGGGGGAAGGGGCATCAAATGCTGCTGGAGGGGTGTGTATCTGGCTCCTGGCAGCATCATGGCTAGGAAAAGCACCGAGGGGGTCCCAGCAAGTGGATGTCAGTGTTTCCCCTCCCCAGACCCCCCAGACGGGCTTTGTGGGGTCGGGTTCACCCCAAGAATGTGGGCAGCTGCTGTTCATAAAGCCCGTGCTCTGCTTTGCCTGCCGTGGCTGCCCCGATGGCACAGGGAATAGCTGGCGTGTCTGGGATGCCGCCGGAGAGCCGCTCTTGGCCGGCGTCGGCTCCTTCCTGGAAACCCGCGGCCGTATTTCATTACAGCCCCGCTGCGAGGTTTGTAAACCCAGCGCCTGCTGCTTCCCCTCTGCCCCGTTCCCAGGGCTCCTCTCGCTGTAACTGTGAGCCAGCGGCTCGGCTGCGGGAGCAGCAACCGGGAAGGTGCCGGGAGCAAGGAGCAGCATCTCCTGGAGGAGCAGCATCTCCTGGAGGAGCAGCATCTCCTGGAGGAGCAGCTCAGATCTCCTCGGGAGCAGCACAGCTGGGGGTCCCCCAGCAGGGAAGGGGAAGGGGAGAACAGGAAAGGAGGATGGAAATGTGTCGGAAGAGCCTGTCAGCAGCATCCCGTCCTGGGGGGTGCTGTGTGTGTCTGGGCTGGGGGGAGCTGTGCCACAGTGGGGGCATGAGGAAGGGGCCAAGCAAGGCAGCTGATCCATGAATCCATGAATCCCACTGGGCTGGGGCTGAGCTGCAGCACATCCCAGTCCTCCTGGAGCATTTTCCTGTGCTAGGGTGCGATGGTGAACCCCCACCCCCAGCGGCATCCTGGGTGTGGGGGGAACAAGGAGCTGTGGTGCAGGGCTGGGAAGCTCCAGGCAGCCCCTCACCCTCATATCCTGCTCTTCCCTGAACACTTGGCTTCTCCAAGCCCAGTGCTGCAAGGGGCATCCGGCTGCAGAGGCCCCAGTATTCCCTGAGGATGAGGCCAGAGGGTCTCTGTGTGCCCCCAGAGCTGCTGGGGGCGGGGGTCTGTCCCTCTGCCGAGGCAGGCGGGGTTGGGGAGGGGGTGGCGCGGGGGGGCTGCTGGCGCCTCACCCCAGTGTCAGCTTAATGAACTGCTCCTGTCAGTCCCGCGTGTCACGGCGAAACTCCTCCTGATGTGCTCATAAATCAAAGTGACGGCGGCTCTTACCCCGTAGCTGCACCCGCTCAGCTGCGTCTAATGCACGGCAGCGCTCGGGACCCCGGCCCTGCACTGGGACGGGGGCTGGGAACGGGCTGGGGGGGCCCAGCGCAGGATTTGGCCCTTACACAGAGCCAGCTCCTCTGGTGGGTGCTGGGGGTCCCCTCTGGGGGGGACTCGGGTGGCTTTTCCGAGGGGAGCAGAGCTCGTGGGGTGAGGACTGGCACGTGAGGTTTTCCGTAAGGCTGGGGCTGTAATCCAGGCTCTCCCTGCCCCGCCTTCTCCAGGGAGAACTTGGCTTGGGGCCTGCAGGCTGGTGGGTGGGTCTGCAGGTGGGTGCACCTCCTCAGCCATCACTCGGGGGTTTAGAGGTCTGTGGTGCCACAGTTGTTCCCCAGTGATGGCAAATTGGCTTCCCCGGGGGGAGGCGGTCCTTGGTTTGACTCAGAGCAGCACCAGGACTCGTATTCCTGGGGCTGGTCCCTGTGTTTGTGGTCTGGTGAAGCTGGAGGGATGCACATGTGGATTTGAAGTGTGTCAAGGTCCAGGTTCAACCTGGACAACACCATCCCTGCCAGACCGTGTGTGGGTCAGGGCTGCTCAGGGGCTTGGGGCATCCAACTCCACCAGCCACAGCTCTGGTCAGGCTGGGCTGGGAGAGCCCAGCCAGGCTGTGGGGCTCAGGGACATGTGCAGGGATCTTCATGACTTCATCTCTTCATCCACTCCCAGTTCCTCCTGCTCCACAGTCTGGAAGTGACGTGAATGAGGCTGTGCTGGAGCAGAGCTCGGGCTTGCCCCGGGGCCCCCGGGGAGGGCGGTGGCAGAGCCAGGAAGAGGAGGAGAATCCCATCCTGTCCCATCCCATCCCAGCTGCTGTTTCTAACCAAGGCAGGGACACACGTGGTGGCAGAGCTTTCTCTTGCCGGGAGGGGACACTGTGGGGGACAGAGCTGCCTCTGTTGAAGCCCTCTGGCTGCAGCCTGGTCCTGCCTTGTTTTCCTGTATCCTGCTGATCCCATGGCCTGAAGCCCTCCTGGCTCAGGAGCGAGGGTGAGCACAGGGATTTCTCTTCACTGAGCAGAAATCACTTTGATTTGTGCCTTAATCTTTAAGCCTCAGAGGTGCAGGGCTGAGGCAGAGCCAGGGAGGATCTAGACCTGACGCTGGGGGGGACAATTCCACCGTGGCCCCAGAGGTGGACAGGTCAGGGAGGGTCTGCATATCCCTCTGAGGCTGAAGAAACTGGAATTAAACTGTCTCTGTGCCCTAGATAGGATTCATGGTTGTGCCTGACTTTGCAGAGCGTAGGGGTTTGTAGGGCAGTGTCTGGATCTCGTCCTCTCCCTCCGATTCACAAAGCCACAGCCACGGCTGAGCATCCACAGGGATCCGCCTGCATCCCATGGGCCCAGAGTGCTGCCCTGGGTACAGCAGCACGTGCTCATTCCAAACTCAGTCATGGACTGGGATTGCCATGGAGAGTCTGTCTGCTGTTCCCTGCTGATGTAGCCTCGGGGATCATCAGGAGATGTGCCAGGTCCCTGGCATTCCCCGTGCATCGGGGCCTGAATCCCTGTAACACTCAGGAAAAACAAGGACATTTCCCGTAGCACAGCTCTTGTGTTCATCAGTAAGGACATGGACATGAAAATACATCTTTGGGGGGCTGCAAAGTGCCCCCACTCCCGGGTGCAGTGAGGTGGGGGATGTGCTCCAGCATGGGCTTGGCCGGTGCTCTCCAGCTCCTCGCTCCCTGCCGGCACCGTCTGCCCAAACAGGGGGGTTCGGGGGGTTCACGGGGTCACGGAGCCGCCTGCCCCGCTAATGAGGCCGGGCAGCCCCGGGGCAGCTCCCCTCTCCTGCCCGGCTCAGATTAGCAGCTGCCTGTCCCCAGCCCTAATTGAATTCTCTCCCCTTCACTTAATTCTCATGGATTTCTCGGCGCCTCCCCAGGGACCCGTCCTGCCTAACTAGTTTAGGGCCAGCGATGCTGGTCAGAGCACGGCTGGCTCCTGGGGACGGGGGGAGAGTCCCCTACTCGGGGGGTGCCTGTGGCTGGGATGGGGGCACCGGTACTGGCACTGGGCACCCCCTCCCCTGCAGACAGTTGGTTTCAGCCCCTCACCACGGAGGAGCTCGTAGTGGTCGTTTTTGGCAAATAGGGATAATTTTCTGGCTTAAAGGAGGGTCCTGTGCATCCAGGGTGCTGGGAGCCCTCTTTTTTTACAACGACGTTGCAGCTGAGCCTCCCCCGTGGGACCCCACAGTTGGGGTTCACACCCACCTCCCAGCACAGCTGGTTCTTTGCTCCGAGCAACTCCCAGCTCCGCTCACTCCCTCTCTTTCCAGTGCTTTATTTTTCCCTTCCCCTTTTCCTTTCCTTCCCCTCCTCTTCCGATAGATCAAAGCCTCCGTCCGGCTCAGCCGTGAGCCGAGCAGGCCCGGCAGCAGGATGGGGACAGGGGCAGCCCCAGTGCCCCCACCGCGGGCACCCCTGGCTGCCAGCACCCCTCCCCGCGGCCCCCAGCCCCTGCCTCCCCTGCGGGGCTGGGAATAAGGCGCCTGGATTTGTCCCTTTTGTCTCGGCAGCCGTTGGGGAACAAGCAGCTGGCCTTCCAGCAGCAGCTCCTGCAGATGCAGCAGCTCCAGCAGCAGCACCTGTTAAACCTGCAGCGCCAGGGCCTGGTGAGCCTCCCTCCAGGGCAGGGCACGGTGCCCCTGCAGACCCTGCCCCAAGGTAAGGACCCCCACCCGGGGTGCCCCGCACGGGGGGGGACCATGGCTGCAGATTGCCCTGCTCTGGGTGAGGGGGGCTGGGGAGGGGCTGTGCTGTTGCTTTTTCTAATGCCCCCGAAGTTGGGGTCCGATGGCATCAGCGGTCAGAGCTGGTGCAGGGTTGGGCTCTGGGTTCCTTTGGCAGAGGAATGCAGGACTGGGGCACCTCTTCCTCTGGCATAGGGGTGCCAGGGTGTGGGGAGAAGGGGTCTCCTCCCCTCTGGGAACAGCTCTGTGTGCCTCCCTGGGTGCTGAGAGCGCCTTGTTTTGGGTTCCCTGATGGGGCTGTGCAGCCTCCTTTTACCACTGCTGGTGTTGTGGGCTGGGCCTGGCTTTAGGTGATGGTTTCCCAGTGCTGGGCGAGGTCTGGGGAGCTGAGCTGTGCCAGGGGGCAGGGAAGGACCCTGTGGGTGCTGTGGGTTCTGCCCCGTGCCCCTGCTGACCCCGGGCTCTCTCCTGCCGTAGCCGTGTGCCCCTCGGACCTCCAGCAGCTCTGGAAGGAGGTCACGGCTGCCCAGCCCGTCGAGGACAGCATTAAGCAAGAAGGTCTTGACCTCACCACCAACACCTCCAACTCTACCTCGTTTTCGGCCGCCAAGGTCTCGCCTCCCATTTCCCATCACCCTCTGCCCAATGGACAGAGCACCATGCACACGCCCAGAAGGGACAGGTAGAGCCGGGTCGGGCCCTGGCACTTTGTGTTTTTATTCCTGGAGAGGTGGAAGGGGCCGGGGTCTGTCGGCTGTGGGGTTGGCAGCAGGGCTGGAGTGGGTGAGGGGAGATTCTGCCTGCCCCATAATGGAGTCCTGTCGCTGTTTTGCTGCACCCGTGTGCCCATGGAGGACAGTGAGCCGTCACTGGGGGTCTCCTGTGGGTGCCTGAGGGCTGTCCCCTGCGTGGGAATGCTGGAGCATCCCAGCTGCCCTGTCTCATGGCCCCTTCCCCTCTTCTGCAGCTCTTCCCACGAAGAGACCCCCGGCTCCCACCCGCTCTACGGCCACGGAGAGTGCAAGTGGCCTGGCTGCGAAACCCTCTGTGAGGACTTGGGACAGTTTGTCAAGTAAGTGTCCCCTTTTTGGGGGAGGTTTGTTTTTTTTTTGGACAAGGGGACAACCCACACTCTGAGGCTGGGACAGAATGGAGCTGGTGGAGGGGAAGACTCTGGAAGTAGGTCCAGGCACCCCAAAGTGTCTGCCCAGAGCTGGAGGACCCCATGCAGAAGGAGAAAACGCACCAGGGGTTGCTGCTGGAGTTCCCCCATCCCTGGAAGTGTCCAAGGCCAGGTTGGATGGGGCTTGGGGCAGCCTGGGCTAGTGGAAGGTGTCCCTGCCCATGGCAGGGGGGTGGAACTGGATGGGCTTTAAGGTCCCTTCCAACCCAAACCATTCGATGAGTCGATGACTCTGGAGAAGGAGAGCCCCCGTGCAGGAGGCAGGAGGGGGCAGGCGCCGGCAGCAGGCGCGGGGGGCTCCCAGCTCCCTCCTGGGGGGCGCGGGGGGAGCAGATGGCAGCGCGGGAGCCCCGCTGACACCGCTTGTGGGCTCCGGCGCTGACTGATTAACTCTGCTGTCGCAGAGCCCTCTGCCAGCGTCAGGGTCAAACAAATTGTTTTCACGCTTCGTCAGAGGTTTACTTAATTAGTTCATTTGCAATTAGATCTCTTTGTAGCCAGGATTTTTAGCAAAGACATCAGAAGGAACTGACGGGCTCGCTCGCTGCTTCCCCCGCCTCCCCGGCTGTCTGCTCGGCCGAGGCGCCGGGCTCTCCATCAGCCAGGTTTTGGGGTTTTACAGACTGACCCTGCCCTCTGCCACGCCTCTGGCTCCAGTGGGAGCATCCCTTGGATACCTCCTCATTCCCAGGGAAGGAGCTGGGCAGAGGCCTTACACGGGAGGATGAGGAGGTGTGAAGGCAGCCTGGGGAGGTTGGGGTGGTGAGTGAGTGAGTGATTCAGGCTCCTGTGTCCTCCTTCCTCTGCCTCTGACTCATGGGGTGAACCCAGATGAGGCATCTCCTCCCACCTTGCAGGGCATGTTTGAATGGCACAGGGCAGATGAGCGAGCTCTGGTTTGGAAGCTGGAGCTGGAGTTGGCAGGGAATGGCCAGGGCTGGGTGACAGTGTCAGGAGAGCTGTGCTGTGCCAGCCAGGGCTGTGGGATCCCTGCATCCCACCTGCCTGTCCCCCTTCCCAAGGGACAGCCTCCCAAAAACACTGGTGAAGGGCTTCTATCCCCTCTCTGCTAATGTGGGGACATGTCAGGCTGTGGGACAGGCAGATAGAAAACTTCCAGCTCCCAAAGGCCGAGCCCAGCTGGAGAGTGGGCCTGGCCTTGAGTCTGAGCACCAGCTTTGAGCCTGCTCTGAGCATCACCTCCGTGGAGCAGCTCAGAGAGCCCCAGGGTTGGGGTGGAAAGGGGCAGCATGGCCTTTGAGCAGTGATTTATGAGGGAGAGGGTCAGTGGGAGATGTCTCCATTCCTGCTTGGCACAGCCTGGGCTCTGGCAGCCTTTTCCCTGGAGAAGCAGCCGTGCCCTTGCTCTGCTGTGCAGGGAGAGGAGGGGGGCTCAGGCACAGGGGGGTTTGCTCACCTACAGGCTTGGCAGCTGGTCCCAGTTACCTGCCTTGTTTGTGCAAGTTGGGGCTGGAAGTCTCTCGCAAACAGCCGGGTGAGACTCCTGCCCTGCTCCTGTGGCACCTTCTGGGGGTATCCCCAGGCTGCTGCTCTGCTGGTTTTGGGGGTGAGGACCCCCACAAGGGGCTGCTGGGATGTCCCTGCCTCTGCAGCAAGTGACGTCCCCAGGAGTCCTACCCCTCCCCGAGGAGGAGGGAGAGCAGTAAGGACCAAAGGTCCTTCTGCTTCATAAACACAAAGCACCTCATAAACACGAGGCATGAAAGTGGTAGGATGAGGAACACCCTGGAAATGCCACCTTCTGCCTTCGGGGGTTTCCTTAGAGGGTGTAAGTCAACCTCCATAATCACACCTTTGTCCTGGAAACCTGCTTCTCAGGTCTTCCTGGCACCTCCTGCCAGCAGCCTTCTCCAGGAAAATCCGTGGGCTTTCCATCAGGCAGTGGCTGCTCCTAAACACCGTGTGGCTGCCACAGGCAGGGCTGGGTGGGTATGGCCCCCTTCCAGCCCAGGTCTGGGGAGATGGCACAGCCTGGTTTGCTCAGTCTCTTGCATGCCTTGGTTTCCTTTCTGCTCATCCCACTTGGGGCACCGGTGCCAGAGCATCCCTGAGCAATTTGCAGGTCAGGGCTGATCCCAGGTGTGGCCCCAGCTGAGGGGGAGCATTTTGGGCATGTCCAGGCATAACCCTCTGTGTTCTCCTCCCCAGACACCTCAACACAGAACATGCACTTGATGACCGAAGCACGGCCCAGTGTCGAGTCCAGATGCAAGTGGTACAGCAGCTGGAGATACAGGTGGGTGCTGCCCCTGCCTCCATGGACACGGGTGTAAAAAGCCATCTCCTTCCCCCTCTGCACTCCATGCCTTGGCTGCTCTCCTCGGGGGGAGCAGGGAGGTTTGGGACCGTAACCACCCACCTGGGGACTCGTTTCAAACATCCTTCCCAAACAGCAGTGCTGGCCCTGGGCTGCATCTGGGTGGAAATCAAGCCCTGGGCAAATCTCAATCTGGTTCCCCCCATACCAGCATCCCTGTGATGGGGCTGGAGGAAAGGACAAGCCATCCCTCCTGCCCAAAGTGTCCCTGTGGGTACAGGGAGATGCCACAGATGTGGAAGGCACGTGCTGCCAGGAGGGTTCATGCCCACAGGTGGGACATGAGCTGTGCCACCTCCGTGGGAGCTGCCGGGCCACTGGGGTCCTTGGAAATCAGGCCACTTATTTTGGTGGCTGAGCGTGGTCTGTGGAGCCCAACTTCAGGGTGCTATTTTTGGAAAGGCAAGTTCTTTAAATAGAGCCTCTCTCAGCATCTCTGGCTCCCCAACGTGCTGTGCATAATTCGGTTAATGGAGAAGGGAGGGGGGGAAGAGGGGAGGAAATGGGGAGTTTTCATCTCAGGACTTGAAAGAGGGACGGGGCAGGGGTCTGTCAGGGGGTCAGTCACCAAGACCCCCGTGGTGTGGCAGTGCCTGGGTGCCCGGCTGGGGCTGGCAGGAGCTCAGGGCAGTGTGTGCATGACATCTCAGGGTACACTGGCCCAGGGGACAGTGGGATGTGATGTGGGGCACCCTTGGGAGCCTCCACCCTGAGTCACAGCAGCTCGGGGGGAGCTGTGGGATCGAGGAGAGGCTGCAGCCTCCTGGGTGATCCCTGCAATCCATCCTGCTCCCCAGCCCTCGCCAAAGCGAGAGGTTGAAAGCAATTACTGGGGCTTAAAGAGGGGAGGGGAAGGAAAGGAAAAAAAAAAAAGCTGAAGGGCGAGCAGAGCTGTGTGTGCAGAGAGGAACCTGCCACGGAGCCACCAATTATGAAGTTTAGAGCGCGGAGCTCCCGCTGTGCCGGCGCGGAGCGTCTGCATCACGAGGGGAGACCTGTCAGCTCTAATGAGCACCACGACAGCACGAAAGCATCTGAGCTGCTCCAAACTTGCAGCAAACTCCGCTCTGGCTCCTGCCTTTAACTCCTTCCTCGCCCGGCCCCGGCGCCTGCCCAGGGATGGGGCTGGGCTGGGCTGGTGGGAGCCGGCGGCGCGCGGGGAGGTGGCCGAGCCCCGAGCTTTGAGGGTCCTGCTGGAAAGGGAGGGTGACAGGGAGAGAGCGGGTGTCAGGTCCCATCGCCTCCGCCGGGCTCAAAATCTCTCCTGGTGCCACAGTGAATATTTCACCCTCCTCCGCACTGCGGGGAGTAAACAGGAGGGAGGTGCAATTACAGCGATGTTGGGCGTCCGGGGGGATGGATGGAGGGCTGGGGGGGGGACAGGGAGCTGCTGGGGAGCAGGAGGAGGGCGAAGGGGACAGGCATGGCAGGCACCGGGGCACGGGCATGAGAGCACCCGGGAGGGAGCGTGAGGGCTGTGGTGGGTGGCCTCGCTGGTGAGTGGCAGCATGGAGGGATGGGAAGGGGCTCCCTTTCACCGTAGATTTTTCATCTAACTGCACACATGGAGCTGGAATGGCCCCCGTGCCCCCCACAGTGGGTGCTGCAGCCCCTATGGAGCCACAGCCCCACTGGGGCTCTCAGGAACCAGCGTCAGGCAGGAGGTGGCACCTGGGGCGACACAGAGGGTCTGGGCTGCCTACCCAGACCAGGGCTGGGGGCTCATTGGCAGCTCCTCCAGGCCACAGGCACCTCCATAGTGAGTTGGGCACTGCCTGATCATCTCCCTCCTGCTCCTTGCCTCCCACAGCTGGCCAAGGAGAGCGAGCGTCTCCAAGCAATGATGGCCCATCTTCACATGAGACCTTCAGAGCCAAAGCCTTTCAGCCAGCCTGTAAGCGTGAGTCCCCTTCCTGCCCTCTACGTCCCCACAGCCGCCCCCTCTCCTCCCCTTCCCCCTCACTGCTGTTCCCCCCCTGCCCTGTGCATGGTCACTGGGTGGGCTCCGTGGGATGGACAGAATGGATGTATCCAGGCCTGTAGGTGCATCCCATCCCATGGTTGTGTCCTCTCCTGCAGTTGCATCCCCATCCCTTGGTTGCATCCCATCCCTGCCAAGCCCAGCAAGTGTCCCCCCTGCGAGCCCCTCCCTGGCTGCTCTGGGGCACGAGCCAGCTCAGCCCTCCCAAGCTCCTGCTGTGCCGGGGGCTCTCCCAGCCCCTGCCTTCCCAACCACCCGTCCTGCCTCCCCCCTGTCTGTGCAGCTGAACCTGGTCTCCAGTGCCACCCTCTCCAAGAGCACTTCCGACACGTTTCCCGACGGTTTACCTCATCCCCCCACCTCAGCCACGGCGCCCATCACCCCCCTGCGGCAGGGCCCCTCCGTCATCAGCTCTTCCACTTTACACAACGTGGGGCCCATCCGCAGGAGGAACTCGGAGAAGTTCTGCACCCCAATATCTTCAGGTGAGCTCCGGGCTGGGGCTCAGCACCCTCCACGCTGCAGTCCCTGGCTCCCAAAGCGGGTCCCTTCACCCCTCGCCCTCCCCTTTCCTGTCGCCCCCAGAACTTGCACAGAATCACGAGTTCTACAAGAACGCCGACGTCCGGCCGCCCTTCACGTACGCCTCGCTCATCCGGCAGGTCAGTGGCTCCCCGTGCCCTGGGGTCCAGCTCTGCACCCCGAGACCTGCCTGTGGGGCACCTCGGGCACAGCTGTGCTCTCCCCCACCCTCTCTGTCCTGGGGGAGCCCCCACATCCACTGAACCCCCCGTTCTGCCCCTCGTGCCTCACCGCGGGACGGGCGTCGAACCCCAGCGGGGCATCGTGAGTGACGCTCTTGTCCCCTCTCTGGTTCCCCAGGCCATCCTGGAGACCCCCGACAGGCAGCTAACGTTGAATGAAATCTATAACTGGTTCACGCGGATGTTTGCCTACTTCCGGAGGAACACGGCCACCTGGAAGGTGAGAGCAGCCCTGCTTGGCACAGTGGACTCACCCCATCCCACCCAGGCTCACCCCATCCCACCCGGGCTCACCCCATCCCACCCAGGCTCACCCCATCCCACCCAGGCTCACCCCATCCCACCCAGGCTCACCCCATCCCACTGGGGACTCCCTGCTGCAGGAGATGCTCCAGCTTGTGTGGGCACCTCTGGTAAAGGACCAGTTCATTGCACAGCTCTGAGATGGTGCAGGAGATGATTTTATGGATAAATCCCCCATTTTCCCTATCCAAAATGCGTCCCTGGTCTGTGAGGGCACATCATCTGTGCTGGGCTTTTCTGTGGAGCTGAGGCTGGAGGAGAAGGGCAGAGACAAAAGAGAGACACTTGAAGTAACAAAGAAGGTTAATGATAAGCTGGGGGCAGGTGACTCTGAGAGATGAGGTGGCTGGGCCTCAGTGCTGGCTGGGGGTGCAGGTGCTGGGCCAGGGGGATGGAGGAAGAGTGGGGATGGCAGGGGGACCATCAGCAAGGGGAACTTCTCTGCCAGACCCCAAGCAGGTGCCTGTGCCCGTCAGGTCCCCCCACCCGGTGCTGTACAGGCAGGTACTGAAAGTTTTTGTGCCTGAGGAGCCATTTGTCACCAGCCTGGGCTGATGGAGGTGAATTTGGGGGCAGCACGTGGGTGCTGGGGCTGCTTCCCCCTTGGTTATTTAGAAATTGAGATTTGAGAAAACACATCTCAGAGGAGCAGGGAGTTGTGGAAGGAGCAGTTCTGTGATTCAGTTATTGCCTCGACCAGGGAAGATTTACGTATTTATTGTTTCCTGCTGCATGTATTTACCGAGGCACAGCTCAGCTCCCTCCTGCCCAGGGCAGCAAGGAGTGAAGTGGCAGAGGGACACGTGTTAGTTTAAAATAAAAATAATTAGAATCAGCGAGGTGCAAGCGAGATGGAGCATTTTGAGAGGGTTGAGGAGGAGGAGGAGGAATCGGTTCTCCCGGAGCCCAGGGCCCCCGTGTGTCGCTGTGGCAGATCCAAGCTGGGATCTGCAGAAAACTTTTGGATGAATAGCAGGGATTTTGGCTCCCCAGCACTCTGGGTGGGCCCTGCCTTCAGCACGGCCCATCCAGAGCATCCCGGCCCGCCGGGCAGGAGGAGGGCACTGGGATGGGGCTGGGCAGGAGCAGCCGGGTGCTGGGGCAGTTTTGGGGCTGGCCACGGGCTGTGTCGGTCTGGAGTGCCCCTCGCTGCACACAGGCAGCACTGCAAGTGCACCACGAGCATCACCAGCCACTGCCACTGCTGCCACCACCCCGGCCTGGGGACACCCCACACTGGGCACACGGTGGGCAGCAATGGGGAGCACTGGGGCAGAGCCCACTGTGGCCATCACTGCTCCCAGCACTGTCCAGGGCAGCACTTCACCTGCTCTGTGCCTCAGTTTCCCCCTCTCTGGAATCAGAGAATGGCAAGTGAAATGTCTTTTTCCCACCTTTTTATTAGCTGGAAGGAATAAATATTTTGGGAGGTTTTTTGCAGCTTCCCCTCTGTTACCAAGGGCAGGGTTGGAGAAGGGCATCTCCCAGCCCTTCTGCTTCCCATTGGTTTTTTTCTTCATTTTTTCCTGTTCTGTCGCCAAAGGGGATGGCAGGAGGTTAGAAAGAGCTGGAGGGGGGATACTTCTCTTCATAACTTCCAGTGTCCAAGGTCAGGCTTCTTCTGGAGGAGTGGGATACACAGGAAAAAATTATGTATTTCCTCTCTTTGAAAACCACCATTTCTGCTGTGGCTTCTCCCTCATCTCCTGGAGCTCCCCTGGGATGGGACAGGGGTGCTGGGGACCAGGGTGGGTGCCCCATGCCCACAGCAGGGGGGACCCACAGGGAGCCCCCAGCACAGCCCAGGGAGTGGGTGGAGGGTGTAAAGCAAACATCATTAGAGGAGAGAGATGAGAAGCAAACAGAGCAGCCGGCTCTGGCTCTGAACAAACACTCTGTCGAAACACAAAAGCCACGTTGGGCTGAGGCACCGTGGGGGTGGATCCCATGCCATGGGGGGCTCACCTGGCACCTCCTCCCTGTCCTGGGCACAGCACCCTGCCCAACACCCAGCACAGGGATGGGGCATCCCAGGCTCTGGGGGTGCTGAGCTGCATCCTGCCCGCTGCCAGGATTTATTTTACCTCCACTGGAGCCTTTGCAGGCACATCCCCACCCGGGTGCTTCAGAGCAGGGGGTTGTCACCGGGGAGAGGGAGGGTTGTGGGCACTGCTGGGCTTGTGTCTCTGTGGGCAGGGAAGGTTCTGCTTTGCCACACTCGTGGCTGCAGTCAGGGCATTGCTTGGACGAGGAGCCCCCTGCACAGGGAGGAGGAAGGGGAGTGTGGGCAGGATCCAACCAGGGAGGGATGTCCTGTGTTTGCTCACCAGGGACAGGGGTTCAAGGGCAGTGGAAGGCCCCAGCCCTGGCTGGACTTCAGACCCCAGGCAGGGGATGGTGTGAGGACAGAGTGGGGGACAGGGGCTTGTCCTGCTCCCCCATGGATTTTGGGGTCCTCCTTGGAATTCCAGGTCCCTGGGATGTCTGTCTGCACAGCGCTGTGCAGCCCGACCCTGGGAGATGCCAGCATGGGGTTTGAGGCTGAGTGGTGCCTCCCAGCAGGGCATGGCCCAAATGGAGCGTGTCCCCTTGGGTGACAGTGGCTCTGAGCTGGGACCCCAGGACCTGGCTTCAGCCACACCCGAGACGCTGGGTCAGCTCCCGATCTGTGGGGTCCTGCAGGGGTTCCCCCCCAAAAATCACATCAGACAGCATTGGCTGGGCCCAAATCTCCTTCCCCAGGAGCTCTGAGAGCTGCTTACAAAGTTTCCCCTTTGGACTGCCAGAGGAGCCAGAGCCCGGCCCTGCTGCCTGTCACCCTGTCACCCGGCCGTGGTGTCAGCACCGGGCACTGTGGCACGGCTGGAGGGAGGGGTTTGGGGGGGAAGGGATGGATGGAGGACAAGGGAAGAGCCCAGCTTTGTTTGTTTTTCTCCTTAAATGAGAAACAGAAGGGGTGATGGTGCCATCTGATGAGGTTCTGGGCGCTCTGGCACTTGCCGGCGCGGGGGGGGGCTCAGTCCTTGTGTCTCCTCTCGCCTTGTTGTGCTGGCCAGCTCCTTTGTTTATACAGCCCCCGCTCGACCTTTTAAATTGCTGTTAATGTTTTAGCGTAACGAATTAGTCTCTCATCACGAATCAGGACTCGAAATAAAAAAAAAAAAAGGGAGGAAAAAAAAAACCCTCCGAGGCCAACTTCCTGAAATTGGGGTCATTCTCATTTGCAAGGCAGAGAATCTGAGAACCTTAATGCAAGGAAATTTATTCAAAGGCAGAGCCCCGGCGTGATTAGGCCCTTTGTAATTATAGCTCGGAGAGATTCCACTCCAGCCTCCTGCCTCCCTCATGGATTAGCAAGTGAGTCGGAAAAATACACAGGATTTAATTAGAGGCAAATTAAAATTGGTAATGAAATAGGGGCAGTAGCAAATGGCAGGGAGTTGGAAGGGGAAAAGGGAGCTGGTATCTCTCGGGGCTGTGCTGTCTGCCTACGTGTGTGTCTCTTTATTTTACATTTAGAAATGTAAAGATGGTCGATGTAAAGAAGAAAGGGAGGGAAAGGACCAAAAGGGGAGGGTGGGGGAAAGGAAAAGAAAGGGAAAGATTAGCTGGCTTTGCCGAGCAGAGAGGGTGGTTCTGCTCCCAGTCCTCGCTGCTGTCACTTGTCCCATACTGTCCCCTCTTCCTCAGCATCTGGCCAAGGTCCTCAGAACGGGGTCATGTCCCACGTGTGGTTTGGGGGCTCGACAACTCAACCCCCTCAGTGCTGGTGGAGTGGGGGAGCACTCACAGCAGCCTGGGTGGCTCTGGGGGGGAGCGTTGGGGTGGCCAGGACAGCCCGGAGCTGTGGGGACCTGCGGGGCCGGCCAAGGAGGAGCATGGTGAGGAAGAGGAGGGTCTGGGCAGTGGGATGAGGGTCGTGCCACTGAGCTCCTGCCCTCTCTGCCCACAGAACGCCGTCCGCCACAACCTGAGCCTGCACAAGTGCTTCGTGCGCGTGGAGAACGTCAAGGGAGCCGTGTGGACCGTGGACGAGCACGAGTACCAAAAGCGAAGGCCACCAAAGATGACAGGGTGGGTGCTCCTTTGCCACGGACACAGCCTGGGAGCTGTGCTCACACCTGCCCCTGCCACCAGCGTCCCTGTCCCCGGGCCAGCAGCGCTCAGCCCCCCGTCCTTCTGCTTTCTCTCTTTCTGCAGGAGTCCGACCTTAGTCAAAAATATGATTTCAGGACTCGGTTACGGAGCACTTAATGCAAGTTACCAGGTAAGGACCCCGTCCTGTCCCTGACTGGGACACAGGGGCACTAAAGTCCTCTACGGTCTTCTTTCATCAGGGACTGTAGTGAGGGACAAGGGGAGTGGGTTCAAACTGAAACGGGAAATTTAGGTTAGACATACAAAAGAAGTTCTTCCCTGTGAGGGTGGGGAGGCCCTGGCACAGGTTGCCCAGAGAAGCTGTGGCTGCCCCATCCCTGGAAGTGTTCAGGGCTGAGTTAGAGGGGCTTGGAGCAGCCTGGTCTGGTGGAAGGTGTGCCTGCCCATGGCAAGGGCTGGTGATCTTTGAGGTCCCTTCCAACCCAGACCATTCTGATTCTCTGATGCCCCTGCAGGCTGCGCTGGCAGAGAGCAGCTTCCCGCTGCTCAACAGCCCCACCATGATCAACACCAGCTCGGCCAGTGCCATGCTGCACGTGGGCCACGACGATGTCAGCAGCACCGTGGAGCAGGTCAACAGCAACGGCAGCAACAGCCCGCGCCTGTCCCCGCAGCAGTACAGGTCAGCCTGGGGGACAGCAGGGACAGCGCTGGCGGGGGGCACTGGGGTGCTGGAGGGCTTGGAGCTAAAGGATGGTGACACATCAGGCACCAGGAGCTGCTCGTTGCTTCCTATGGCTCCTGTCCCCTGGGTGAGGAGGGTTTTGGACCAAGAGCTCTGTGGGGTTGTGGCTGGGGGGGAGCAGCCCCCCAAGGCTGAAGGCTTCCCCCCCCACAGCCACCCAGTGCACGTGAAGGAGGAACCAGCCGAGGCGGAGGACGACAGCAGACCTGTGTCGCTGATGGCCACCACCAACCAGAATGTGACGATTCCCGACGACAGGGACCTGGAGGAGGAGCTGCCAGTGGAAGACTTGTCCTAAGGACTCCTTCCTCCTCCCCACCGAGGGGCAAACCCTTCCCACCCTCCCGGCCGGAGACCAAGCGACGCTCCCACCTCCCCAAGGTGACCTTCGGCGTTAACCTGTTCTTTAAAGGCACTTCCACAAAGCAAAAGGGTTTCCTTGGGGCAACAACCCGTTGCTGCCGGCGCGTCCCTGGCGCTCCCACTGCCCCGCGCTGCAGCCGGTGACTGACCGACCCTGCCGCGGGCACGTCCCGCGGCACGAGAAGCAGAAACCCAAGAGCTGGACTTTTTCTCCCCTCCTCCCTTGGTTAGTGACTGGTGAACGAGGATGGTAGGTTGTTTCTGTCCGAAATGGTCCCTTCCTTCCCTCCCTGTGCGTGGCGGGCGCAGGGAAGGCACCTCTGTCCCCTCCTCCCGCGGTGCTCGGCCGCCCCGAGGCAGCGATGGCAGGAACCCACTGTCGTCCCTCGGGCCCCCGGCGGGTTTTGCACTAGGAGGGACCGTGGACCCTGCCCACGTGTGCTGCCTCCAGCCAGCTTTGGGGGAAGAAACAGCAGAAACGGGGCTAAGCCCTCTGCCGTGCTCTGGATGTCGGGCTCGCACCATTGTCTCGAAGCTGGGGAAGGACGAGGACTGGCACGTCAGTGGGACGGGGTCCCCTCTGCCTTGTCACCTCTGGCCAGTTGCTAAGCTGCCTGGCAAGCAGAGCAGCCTCCCCAGGCTCTGCCCTCCACGGGCTGGTGGGGGGCTCCTGGCACCCAGCAGTGCTGACCATCCACAGCCGACTGCCAGCGCCAGCAGTGAGGACACGGCTCCCCCCGTCCTGCTCGACGTGGCTGCAGCGGGTGACACCTCCCAGCCTATGTGGGGATGGCATGGCCAGTGGCCCAACTCCGACTTCAGGGGAAGGCTCCCGGCCCCCTGCGTGCCCCGTTCCACCTCCAGAGCCGGGGCAGGGTCTCAGTGGAGCAGGAGGGCAGCATCCCCCAACACCAACCCTCCTCCTGGGGGCACCTGCAGAGGAGCTGGGGGTCATCCCATCCCGCTGGGAGCAAAGCTGAGCCCGATGGATCCCTGTGGTGGCCAAACCTGGCCACGGCCCCCAAGCCGAGCCCGTTGCAGGGGGGCTCCCGCTTTCATCTTTTCTTTTCCTTATCCTTTTGTGTGCATCCAGATGGGAAGATACCAAAAGATTTCTAGAGACAGAAGGTCCGTAGTTCAGGTGAACAGATGGTATTAATGCCAAAAGAAAAAAATATTAATAATAATGAGAACAACACAACCAAACACCCCTCTTCTCCCTGCTCTTTCTTTCTGGGGCGGTGATGTGGGTACCCAGTGCCAGCCTCCTCCTGGCAGGCAGCGTGGCATCCTCAGTGCCCTGTGCTGGCTTCAGGGAGCATCACCTTCCCTGGGGAGCATCACCTTCCTTGGGGAGCATCACCTTCCCCGGGGAGCAGCACTTTCCCTGGCACAGCCGGGCTGGCACTGGCTGTCCTGGCACACAGTGGGGTCTTTAGGGACTTGCTGTGATGGATGTGGGGCTGCTCACGTTTTTGAGCCCAGCTCCAGGCTCCCCCAGAGCGATCCCGAGGGTTGCTCCATCCCTCCCTGTCCCTGGTACTCCGGGATGTGACACTGGGGGGCTGTGTCACCCCACAGGACATGGGGCTGACACCCCGGGAGCAGTGTTGAAAATGCAACACACAGCTGTGGCTCATGGGGGGTTGTGTTTGTCTGTCCCCACGTCACCTCTGTGACCTCCCCAAGGGGCTCCTGGTGCTGTGGGGTATCCCCAGGGTGAGCCCATACTGGACTCATCCTTTTCACTGCCTGAAGCATCCCCAGTACCCAGGTGGCTGCAGTGAGGGGGTCCCTGGGCCCCCCTGCAGCCGGGGGGACGTTGAGCAGAACCCCCCACCCCAACCGTGTCCCCCTGTGCCACCCTGTGTGCCACCCCCTGTATCATCCCCTGTGTCACCCTCCGGGGGCTGCCGAGACCCTCGGGGGGCAGCGGGGGGGTGACACAACCCGCTGGGGCTGTTAACGGGGGTCACCGGCACCCCCCCGGCTGGGGCTGCAGGGGTCCCTTTCCCATTCCCAAACCCGGGGTTTTCCCTGCTCCCCCCGCCGTCCCTCCCGCGGGTCCCCAACACCCCTGTAGGTGTCACCCGCGCTTCTCCCGCGCCGCGGCTGCCGAGCGCAGGGACAGCCCTGCCCGGCCCCTTCCCCGGCTCCCGGCCCCTTCCCGGCCCCTCCGGACCCGGACCCGGCCCCCCCGGGCTCCGCCAGACACCAAAGACCCTGCCCGGGCCGGGGGGCACCACCCGACCCCCCCTTTTGCTGTCCCCCCCATCCTGCCAAAGGAGCTGTGAGGCTGGAGGCACCGGCAGTTTTCCCCACCTACTTTATTTTATCCTTCTTTTTCCTTTTTTTTCCCTTTTCCCCTTTTTTCTTTTTTCCCTTGTTTCTTTATTCCCCCTTTTTTTCTTTTTTCCCCTCTTTCTTTCCCTTTATTCCCCTTCCCCCTCCTTTTTCCTCTTTCCTTTTTTCTTTTTTTTCCCTTTTTCTTTTTTTATTTTCCTTTTTTCTTTTTTTCCCCCTTTTTTCTCTTTTTCCTTTTTTTTTTTCCTTTTTTTTTCCTTTTTTTTTTTTCCCAGTTCTTTTCATTTTAAGTTATTGTAGTACCAAGTTTACAGCTGGCACGGGGGGACGTTGCTGGGGGGACCCATTGCTGCTTTACTCGTACGAAGGGGAGGGATGGACAGGCTGGACCTTGGGGTGCAGCCCCTGAGCCCCTCACTGCTGCTCGGCCACAGTTCACCCTCTGTGGGGAATCACCTGCCTCCATCCAGGTTTTTGGGATTTTGGGTTGGCACCTCCCTGGCAGGGGTCATTGTGCCTCTTGGGGCAGTGCCAGCACCCAGTGTTAGACCCCCTCACTGTTTGGAGGAGGTTTCAGTAGCTGCTCCCCTTTTTTTGCCCTTCCTGGTCCTTTTCCCTCACCTTCCTCCCGCTCTTTAATTTTTTGGCAGCTTTGCCCCCTGGATTCTGCACAAATCCAAGGTGGCCCCGGCATTGCCGAGCCCTCCAGGGCTTCTTCCTCGGGGTATGACTTTTTTTTTTTTTTTTTAAGCTTTTCCAGAGGTACAGACACCCCTGAAATGCCTCCCAGGGCCTCCAGATCCCCGTGGATTCAGCCAAAATCCCCCGTGTGCCATCATCACCCCCAGACCCCGTGAGGAAAACCTGGCACCTTCCCCTCTGTGCTGAGTATTCCCAGAGGTTTTCAGCTGCCATCCCGGCTCCCAAGAGCACTCTCTCTATATATTATATATATATATAAATAAATATATAAATATAAAGGAGTTTTTTTCTTTAAACACATGCACAGGTTTGGAAAGTCCTGTGGCTCCAGGTGATGCCTCTTCCCCGGGAATCCTGGTGGGTGATTTCACAGGAAACGTGCCCGGTTTGATACTCAGGGGTAAATTTAATTCCTTCTCTTACCCCCTGCCCAGCCCAGCTGCCTCTGCAGGGTCCCACCTGAACCAGGTACTGTGTGTGTCCCCCCACCCTCACTGCCCCCACCCCTCTCACCCCTCTGGTTTATTTTTTGCTGGTTTGAATTTTACTGAATTCTGCGTGTCTTACCTCAAACACACGCCGGAGGCCGGGGGGGAGGGAGGATCAAGGACCAAACACAACGTGTGGCAGAATTGTATGTCTGTATATATTGAGATATATATATTCTGGGTTTAAACCTACCAAAACAAATGGTTCTTTTTGGGCTTTTCTGTATTTTTGTGTTTTATTTCCTGTTTTTGCCCAACCCAGGGCGCTTCTACGAGGGGAAGCTGTGGGCACCTCTCTGTACGTAGAGGCATTTTTCTGGTATCTCCCACTGAAGGAATTACTACTTTTTCCATGTGTTTTTCTTTTTTTTTCCCCCTCAGTGATGTCTTCCCCCAAATAGCTCAAACAGGTACCCAGGGGAGGGGGTCAGAAACCAGCGCTCCGAGGGAGGGGGTGCTGGCAGCACTGGGGGCTGCTGGGGAGGCCGGGGGGGGGGGAAGGGAGAGCAGCAGCTGAACCTGCATCAAACCAAAGGGTTTCTTTGCTTTGTTTACACCCCTGGCCAGCCTCACGCCCCGGAGGTCCTCCCTGGGTCTAGGTTTTTGTCCTGGAAGTGTTGGGGAAGGTCGGGACAGGCCAGAGCCAGGGGCTGGGGGGCTCTGCACCCCCGGAGGTGCCCGCCGTGGCCCCGGGGGAGCCCATGGCTCGGGCACATCCCACCCCCGGCTGCTCCGGGAAGCGCCAGCCCTGCCACAACCTTTTCCTGTTTTTCCCCTTTTGTTCCCATCCTCTTTTGGGCTGGGTGGGAAGGTGATGCTGGGGAGGTGGGACGAGGTCCGAGGGGGCCGGAGGGTGGAGGGGAGGGCGGATGTGTAAAGAGCGACCCCTCCCCTCCCTGCCGTCCTCGTGCTGTATAAAGGAAATAGCCTCGCTGTGTATTTGTACTCTGAGCTCCGTGTGTCTGCGTTGGCAGACGGTAAACCCTTGTACAGTAGGTCTAGCTGCATGTAATCTGTATGGACAATGGCATTATAAAATGCAATAAAATAAATTACCTATCGTGCCGCTGTACTGGCTGCCTTCTTAGGGTTGTTGGTTTAAAAAAAATGTGCGTTTTTACAGAATCATTGAGGTTGGAAAAGCCCTCCGAGATCATCGAGTCCAACCTGTGACTGATCACCACCTTGTCAACAGACAGAGCGCCACATCCAGTCATTCCTTGAGCACCTCCGGGGATGGGGACTCCACCACCTCCCTGGGCATCCCCTTCCAATGCCTGGCAACCCTTTCCCTGAAGAAGTTCTCCCTGCAGATCCCTGTAGGCTCTTCAGCAGCGAGGGGATGGGAATGAGGTTCCAGACTCCAGCCTCCTCCCGGCCCCCCGAAATGGCTGCTCCCATCTGTGTGCAGCCCCTGCCAATGTTAACAGACTGTTACATCCCCTTTCC